GGGGAATTCTTGCTGCGCGGGCGCCAACGCTCGTTTAATTTTCATACCTCGACAGCGTGCGGATATCAGCGTGCAACTAAATCATTTTCCACGTCTCGAGACATTTGCAATTTTAATATCTTGATTATTAACAAAGTTCTCAAAGTCCATTACAGGCGTTAAGCAGACCTTTTGTGTTGCGTTGCTTCCCAGCCAGGTATGCACGAGTGAGTCGTGATTACGCAATTAAATAACTTTTTTCCCGCCGCCCCCCCCCTCCCCTCCACCCCCCCGGTGTGTATCGAGACGTAAGAAAATTACCCGCATAGTTTTGAGAACTCATTTCGGCCGTTTGACCATTAAATCGCTCGCCGTTCTCAAACGGCGGTAGCGGATACTTGGACGGCGCAGCGGCAAGAATTTCCTCTCTCTCCGACTCTCGTTTTAACTCCGCGCAATACCTCGGACGCACGAAAATTCGATTTCGCCTTCCTATCTGCCGGCCTCTGGCAACGGGAGGCAAATTCTTCGGCAGTGTGCAAGGCGAGGCACGATGGAAAGGCTACGGGCACACGGTCCTGTCTCCCTTGTCTGCCAGCGCCGTGCTATTAATCGCATTAGGCGACCGACGGGTCTGCTTGAGTGGTAGATGCCCTCGCCTTCCTTCACAAAGGCATCGCACGCCAGTATCTTCAACCGTGTACCACGATACGGCCCAGTGGATGCGCATTCTGGGTACATATCAATCACATACCAAGGACGTTTAGAGTTCCGTTCCTGTCACTCGATTAAATCTTTTAATAATCTCTAACGCGCCGAAAAAGAGAAACGTGTCGGTCGCGCGTTAGAAAAATATCCTCTCCCCTTATCTCGTTGAAAGAGCGATAACAGCTCGCCGGGAAGCTATTAGTTTTATCGGAATATTTGCCTAATGTCAATCTTAAGTGTCGACAACGGCCACGATTCGATATTTTTAATAAAAAAAGAAACAATATAAATCGTGTACAATGTTTTACAAGCCACTTCCAAGTTATATGTTACGATGTGGAACGCATTATGCAAAGTGAAAATGTAAAGAAGAGGAGTTTGATTTCGAGAATATTGTGCAAGTGGGTCAACTTCTTTTGAATACAGAGTTTTATCGTTCTCTTGTCTTCAAAGACTGTTTTCAAAGGCTCGCGAGACACGCGGGAAAGCGAGATTAACCCTGCAAGTCTTGTGAAGATTTCTCGCGTAAAAAATATATTAATGATCATAATTGGCACGGGGAAAAAAATGTTGTCAGCTGTGATTAAAGAGGTCCCTGATTAAGCTTTTGCACTTAAACAAGCGAGTGTCGTCGCAATGCTCGCTAATGTGGAACGTCTCTTCTTTGAAGATGCTGAACCGCGAAAAATGTGCTGACAAAATATTCAGTTAAATATGAAGACGTCGATTAAGTAAATGAATGCGGGAGAAAATTTTCCTTTCCCGCTTGAAGAATGTGCATTTTAAATTTGGCAAAATCATTTTTCTCTTGGCCGAAAACTCCAGTCGACTCAACATCCAATATTGTGAGATATCTCTAAAATTTTGTTACTATTATTCACGATCCCTTTATCACGTCGTATTTAAACGCGCGAATAATGAGTTCTGTGTTGATTTCGCCCTTGCTCGCTTAAAATCACGAAAAGTACCATTTGTGAGAGCACAATCGCGCGATACTATTTTAGCGCCACTTTATGGCGCAACTAAAAAGAAAATCTAAAAATCTCGCTTTTACGAATGCACGCTCGCGCGCGCATTAATTTTACAGCTTTAATGAAAAAACGTAAGCGCGCGACGCGCGTACGTCGCCGTTAATATTAACTGGAGCGTTGATACCCGATGCGTCGTAAATCGGGGTCAACCGTCTACCTGCCTGCCGCGACGTGTGCTTTCACTATCCCTTTCGCATAATTCCGCCAAAAGTATACGGTGCGCGGTGTCTTTGAAGTGCAGACGGTGCGCGATGAGGAGGAGAAGCGTGACCCGCGCGTGCGGCATAATTTGAGCGAGGCAACGAACCCTCTCCGCGCGCCGACTGTGTCGACGTCTCTCGTGCCACAATCTTCCTCGTCTTTTCGTCGACTTACCCGCCGTACCCGGGCTTCTCCTCTCGCATAACTGCGGAGGAGAGAGAGACGCCGTCATTTCTATAGACATTCATTATTCACTACTCGCTCAACGTGCTTCTCTCGCAACCCTTTCTCTCCTCACCATCGTCCCTCTTTATCCGACACACTCTCCTCCTCCCTTCGATACCCGATCCGATATGTACCTATTTCTCTTTCTCTCTCCGGTTCCGCTACCTTTCAGTTTCTCTATTTCCCACCATCGAGGCTCTGCCGCGTCCGTTAAAATCGGCAACGGCGATAATCCGGCGAGCTTTTAAACGAGCATCGTTCGCCGTTCTACAGGCGATGGACTTTGTTGAAGGATTTCTGATCGACGAAAGAGCCAGCGGAGAAGAAAGAAAGGGGACGGGGAGCGTCGACGAGCCTGGCGAGAGGCGGAATATTTCATGAGAACGACGGTAAACGTTCGCGCGCGGTAATCCATCGGGGCAGTAATGTTTTGCACAATTCATACGGAGCCACGCTAAACGCTTTTTGATGACTCCATTTAATTACAATACGCTTCGATTTTCGAGCGTGTGCGAAGCAGGTGCGCATTCGTAGAATCGATTAAATTGCGCTGCGCCATTCGTTACGGTGTTATTTCCATAGCTTTATTTTCACGCAGTTGCTCTGCTTAAAAAAAAACTCCCCCCGTGAGATACACACGGCTAATATTTAACAGCTCCTACAGTGATCGTTATCAATTTTACGATACCGCGATGCCCCTCGCGATTCGGTGATTCGCGCACGATAAGCAGTTTACCGCATCCTAGTTAATTGCTTTGGCATTATGATACGGGAGAAGCTTATAGATAAGTCGTGTAAATTCTCATTCAGATGCAATTACAGTGCTGAATAACACATGATGGCTCCGCAATCCAAACTGATCGGTAAACATCGGCGGAATTAATTTTCGACTACGCAAGATAATATACGGCTATGGAAGGTAAGCTGTTACACGGATCTAGAGCGGCGTATCGAATTAAAAATATCGAGTATTTATATACGTATAGCGCTGTGAAACGCTTCAAATACAGGCGCGCTGGTACAATCAATTGATTAACCGCTATTACTATATTACACATACGCGCACTGCAATCTCGACGTGTCGATATATTCCGCTGCAACGTAGCGACCACGTTGAGTACACATCAAATATCGTAATATCATATCCGTCGAAAACAGATGGTCGCGAAAAATACTGTTTGTACTTGTAATATTGGTAATGATGCGAACTTGGACAATATTTACGCGGATCGTGCGTTGAAATATAAATAAACGTATCGCAAAGGTACGTAAAAAGTTAAACATTCAACCAAGTTACTAACGATTAAAAAAAATATTTTGTAAGCTTCCAATATTTATCAGGATGAAACTGCGCCCGCTAGTATTTATGCCGTCTGTATATTTTTCGAGAGTATCGTTTCGGTCGCTTGCAAAAATGCGCGTATTTTTTCCCCCCGCCGTAAAACTCGATCGGCGGGGCCGGCGAAAAAATTTCCGCGGGCGAGCCCGAGATCGTTACGGTATGTCAAAGTTCGGCTTCTCCCAATGAGAAACTTTCACGAATCGCCCGCCCCCCGTCTTTTCTTTACGCGCTTTTTGGCTTGTTATTTTCCCCTATCGTCCTATTTTCAAATCGTAAAACGGGATTGATACGCGAAGCCGTTCTAGTTAAATTATTCATGTATAAGAAACTCGTCCCGCAAAACACGACATTTTTCAAAACATCAGCAATTTTCCTCCAGTTCCCTCTTTAAGAGGATGAAAAAGAATTTATAATTCCTGACTTGACTCCGAGTATATTTTTTACGGTAGCAATTTCTTCGATAACGCTACGAATATATACGCGTACGTAAATCGGCACATGTATTGACAAATTAATAGATAAATGGAATAATCCAATTTCAAGTCATCGTGGAAAGGAGATTTTTAACAGATTTTCGACAAATATTGAAATTAATCACTACAATGTGTCAAAGGCATATTGTAAAAAAACCCTTGACGTATTGTTCAAATTTGGTTATTAAAGACGGATTAAATCTTGTTCGCTCTCAATATTTTCCCTACGTTACGATAACAAAATTAGACTACGTCTTGTATAAAAATTAACCTTAAAAAGTGCTATTGTTTTTGCCCTCGCGAAGAAGCAACAACGGTAATAGAGTTCCAAATATTGAAAAAAAAACAACAAGTTTAGTTGCATTTCGTTTTGCAGAACGCACTTTCATACCATAACGATATCGTTACGGAGGCAACGTAAACAACATGTGAAATAGGAAACGTTCTTTTGACTACTACATCATACGATATCGATAGAATTTTGCTCTCCCAGTTTTATTATTCTCCCGGTTTTATTAATGTTTCTCGTGTAGCCCGGCACATCAACCATCGCGCGCGTAGAAAAATATTATTTCACGCATTAAAATATCGCACAATGGTGCGCCAATTCGAGCGCTGTAATTAAGTGCGCCACGATTGAAATAATGGCGCTGCGAGGTAGCGATCGCGTAACGTCATGCATCGCGAAATTATTTATTCTGCCGCAATTTTTCTATCGTACGCGATCGGACGATGATGTTGCCCCGGAGGAGGAGGAGGAGGAGGAGCCGATATTATTATTGGAGCATGCTGTGCGCCAGTATTTAGAATACATAAGCGAACGGTATGTTTGCACACGGCGGCTATGTATACCCCCGAGTTCAGTAACCCTTCTGCCGACGGCAGACGTGCTCGACGAGGTTGAGCCCGGCGAGCACTCGACTCGGCGCGTCTCTCTCGCGCGTAACGTCTATAGCTGTAAGTTCGGTAGCACTCGGGACTCCCGGCGCGGCGCTCCGTGTATACGGCGATAACGATGTGCAACACACAAACAACGCTCACCGATGGGAATCTTCTCAGGAAACGCCGCGGGCACCAGGAGGACCAGGAGGACGGTTAAGGCCATGGTCATCATCGTGGCAGTAGATGTTAGTCTGCTGATTCTACCGGCACCAGTGTTTCTCGCGTTTATCTCGGCGCTCCCGGAAACGGTCGGCGCGGCGGCGGTAATGAGAGAAACCGCGGTGGCGCGACGAGGCCGCCGTCGCGACGAGGGTGGTCCACCCGTCTCGTCAACAACCGGGAGCATCTTTCGAGCTCCGTGGTCTGACACAAACTACTGTACTCCACTCGGCGTGAACTCGGTCTCTCCTGAACCGCCCCAGCATCCCTCTCGTCCTCTCCCACCCTCTCTACGCTCGCGCGCGCGTCTCTCTCTCTCTCTCGCTCCCGCGCTCTCTGGTTCGTGGACCCCTTAACCAGCAGCCACCCTCCCGTCAGTCGTGTTTCTCGCCCACCCCACCGACGCAAGCGTTGCAGCGCTCTCGCTCTCGCTCTCGATCCACCACCCCCGGACCCGTACCCTTCGTCGCGACTTCCGCCACCACCGACGGCAAGCATCCCCCGTCTCCCTCCCCCTGCCCACCCGGGGCGGGAGGGCGCTCCATCCTCTCTCCCTCTGTCGCGCCCTCGTGCTTCACCACGGTAGTTCGGGGTGGAAGCGTACGTTTAACGCGCATGTTACGATAGTCGCGGCGCGCGTGTTCGTCTCGGAAATATTCCACGCACCTGCCGACTGGCGCCACGCCGCTACCGATACCGCCACCGATACCCTACCGATATCCCGCCGCATCGCGTCGGGATAAACCGACTATCTATCGGCCGAAATTAAAGCGCGAGTATATTTTTGCGACTCTTCATTAGCCGACCGACTCGACTGGGCTCGATTCCGCTTGGCCGCGCGGCATCGCGATTCGCCTACGCCCCAAGAGCTCGATTGCATCGAGATATGTAATCGGGGTAAACGCAATATAGGTGCGTCGAATTATGAAGAATGAAACATCTCGGCAGAGATGGAGAAGTCAAGGCAGTCGTTAAATATTCAAACGCAACATGTAAATTTAAGTTTCTTAGAATGCGATGAGTTTCCTCGGAATGTTACTTTTTTGCGAGGTGCTTGGCAAAAAATGCAGAGAAAATGGCAACATTTTTATTAAATTTTAAAACAATCTTTCTTCTCTATAAAATTGTTAACTGTTATTTTTTACCAGGCTTACTCTATATTCGAAATATTTGTTAGCATTTTTACTCGTTGCTCGCACTAATTGTACGATAGCTCCACAAAATATGAAACACAGGGGAACGATTTTTAATTCTCCATTTTCTTTCTGACATTTTTCACTTACGCACGTGTATATTTAACATCATTTTCCAGTGTATTGTCTTGTAAGTTAAAATAATTGACAATTCAACTTACCGATCTGATGCGCGGCGGCGGAATTGTCAGCACAATCTGAAAAGTACAAAGACAATTATAAATTCGGCGTCTAAATGATTAACGTACGAATTGAATCTTTCATTAATTTTTTTTGGATACGCAGTAAAAAATAAAATGTTAATGTTAACGTTTCTCACAAAAAGTCCACTCTAAATTGTAAGTTAAAGTAACGTTCATCGCGTGTGTTACTTTTTGACAAATAATAAATGTTAATTAACCAACGGACAGGAAAATTCTTCAGGCTCGCCAGCAATAATTAACGACATCAAGTTTTCTCGACCGTATCCGGCAATTTTTATGTTTAAACATCGCTACGTTTCGACATTGACATACGCGAGTCTACGTATACGACGATCTCAGGTAACACCTCTAACAATTATAATTTTTGTAACTGTGAACTTAATATCTCGGACTTGTTTACTTTATTTATGTGTTAATTTGTAAATCTCTAATTTGTATTGTCAGATCGATTGAAAAGGACCCATGGTCGCGAAACGTAGCGATGATTTAAACATAAAAATTCCCAGGTACGGTCAAGAAAGCTTAATGTTACTAATTAATCAACACTGTACTTCACATTTATGTATATTCTTTTAACCATAAGCGTGATGTAATAAAAACAGACAGGGCAAGTAAGCTGTACGAGTAGTTACAGATTAAAATAGCTGAAATAATTGTTAAGAAAGTCGATACTACATGTTTCGGTTGATTTCGTGAAGTAGCTGTGTTAAAAGACCTCAAAATGGTGTGCAATTTTTAAACGACGTACATAAAGTGTCAGGTTATTATGTTAACATAAATGTAACGCATAAAAATGTTACGAAAATAATTTGTTTCATGTTAATTTTACAATGAAATAATAATCGAGTCTCGGTAACACAGGACCATTTTAACATTTCAACAAACGATTTTTTACTGCGTAGAGATATTTTATAAAATAACTGTATATAATTTTTGAAAAGGGACATGTGCAAGCAAACTTTTCTCAAGTTTGATAATCCACGTTTTAATTTAGCGAACAAGCCCACTTTTACGTTAAAAGATGCACATTGTTACACGAAATCTTAACCGTGTCAAATATGCGGTAACAATTAATGCCTACGTACGCGCGCGCATTTAAAATCAATTTGGAGCAGGCGAGCGAGCGCAACAAACACGAGCATGAACAATTCGCCTCGATAAATACGAACGGTGCTGCCGCCGCGCCGGCGGTGCTGCTCGAATTAATGGAAATGAGTTGTTTATTCGTGTTCGTTCGCGCTCGCTCGGCCCAAAACTGGTTGTAAGATACACGCGCACATACAGATTTATGCGTCGCGACGGGCGGCATTACGCATGTATTGGCGCTCAGATTACGCCGCGCGCGCGCGAACTATCGCGGGAGCCGGTTAATTACGCAAGTAACAAGTGTAGTGAATTATTAAATTGCTCACCCACGGTTGTTCCGCCGACGCCCGATGCCTCCCCGGGCCTGCCCCTCCTCTCTTGGCGTGTCTTCCTCGTGGCAACTCACTCGCGAGACACCCGCTAATTACGATGACTGATTGTTCAAGACGATCAGCGGGGACGCTTCAACGACACTCCCGGCGGTAACTGAATAACTCGCTCGCGAAAGGGCGGTTAGGCGCTCGCGCGCGCGCGCGCGCACGCGATGATCGTCGAAACGCGACGCTCGCGAACTTGCGCGGCACTCCCGGCGTTAATCACACATTTCTCACACGCGATGCGCACCGAATTACGCGTCGGCGGGGGAGCAATGCGACGAAAGCACGAGCGGACGATGCCGCGATAAGCTTGACGGCCGCGACGCGGCCGAGCGAAGCGGCGGGCGCGAGGGTACAATGGCGGAACGACGAATTAGCGAAACGCGCGGTCAACTTCACGCGGTAGCCGCGCTGCACCCAGGGTGCTGCCCCCGCCTGCACTTTTCCCGCGTTTCAAATACTCTCGCGTTCTCTGCGCGCGGCGAATGTCCCGTCCCGATGAACGAACGTACGAAAATGATGAGCGTAAGCGGAATGTAAGGCCCGTATGCTCTTTCGTCGATGAAAAGCGCCTCTGAAAGTGGCTCCCAGCCAATCAGAAGACTTATTAGCCGCTTTCGGAGGCGCCTTCGTCTATAAAAGAGGATTCGTAAGGCGAGCCTGACGCTCGAAGAAAACGATTGTTAGCGCGCTGTAGATTTCCGTAAAATTTGTACGCGCCCCGAAATATACAATTTAGTAAAGCCTTCATATACAAATTTCTGTTAAGTGGTTGATAAATATTGACGTGTGACATTAACTATGTTTGTATTTACTGATTAAACGCATCGCCAACGCTGCTCGGTTTAAAGTCAATCCTTTTCGCTGTCGCGATGTTTTGTTAATCACCGAAAACCTTGATTATACGGCCGGCACAACTTTATTCCGACACCGCCAAGTGTCAAGCGAGTCAATTTAACGGTTAATTAAGATCCATCGAGCAGCCCATTAATATACAATCAGATCGGTTTAATATTACACGCGCGACACATTTCGAAATAAATGCGGGACGCCATCGCGACATTCATAATCAATCGATACGTTACAGCGTTCGATTACGTAATTACTTTATACCACGAATTACATCCTTGTTATCTGATCTCGTCATTTACGGAGAATGATCACTCGCGGAGCTACTTTTTCGTCGCGTTTCGAGAAACAGATGAATTCAATTACGCGGACCGACGAGAGCTAATCGTTCGTAAGAAACGATCGCATCTCGGGACGGGAAAACGAGACGATGCACAGAGCCGGGCTTACGACCTGCTCCTCCGAGAGCCAGCGTGTGAATGATAACAGAATGACCCGGCTTTGGCGTCGCGGCGACGGTCGACCTTGTGTATAACACATGCGTGACGCCTCGGATAAATCGTGGCGCGGTACTGAACGTATTCGCGGGGAAGATTAATTCGCA